TTTTTGGGGGGGTCATTATTTTGTTTTACATATTTCTATTGTCATATAAAAGCTAATCAGATAATAACTAATAGTACAGTACCTAAATTACAAGTGAAATGATTCCCTTTCATGTAAATGTTGGACTCTTTGGCGGCCATTTTGGATTTTTGGCCTTGTTACGGGAACAGACCTTCACCACAGAAAAAAATACATGTACATGTATTGGAACTTAAACACAGTCCGGGTAAGACACGCTCTTATTGGCGTCCACTTCCTCAGTATCTTCCATAGTGGGTGAGTGGGGACATTTTCAGGAGTTGTATTGTAAGGGTGGAGGTGGCGTGGTGAAAAAAATGGAGGAATGCATTTCACCTCTTTCAACACATTCTAGATCATTCAGTAGTGGGCTGCTTCGGCACTGTCTACCAGGGCGGACACACGGACTGAGGAAAACAACGTGATGGAAGAAAGACGAAAATACCCAGTAAGACTTCTCCCCTCACAGGAATCGATCTTTTATATTGTGACATAAAGAGCGACTATGTACTGAACCATATATTCCAGTAGAATAGGTCTCATGAGTTGTAAGTTGATGGGAATGAGAGACAGACAGACAATGATAACATTACGGACTGAAAGAGCGCAGGTAAAAGTAATGAAAGAAAGAAAAGAAACACTTGGCATTAATGATTCATGTAGGCGTTTTTACGTCTACAATCGACACAATATAGATTCTAGTTCAGAATGAAGGGGGAAAATCAAAGGCAGGGGGGGGGGATGAAAGGATCTCCTCACCCTCCACTCGTTTCCCGTTGCACGTCCGTGATCTTGCCCGTGATGATATGCTTGGCGTCCTCCTGCTTGACTACGGCTTCAATCACAGATTCTTTCGCCACTCGGGCACGCAAAATGGCGTCTCCGAGCCTCCAAGCACTACTCACAGTATGCAGCGCCGTCTTCGTCATCACTTCATCACACGTGACGGAACTAGCCAATCCTGCACTGCCACCATAGTCAACGGTGACGTCACGCAGGAAGTTTTCTGTCAACTTATTTCCCGGAGAGTACAGAAGAGCGCTTCTTTCTACGGAGTTTCCCGATCCTACTATAGTCAGTGGGTACGCGGGGCTGTTGTACATGTAAGGAATGAACATCTGCACTTCCGGAAAGGCTCGGCTCATCCCGTCTGCGTCGATGACCGGAAGGTCAAGGTTGGCTCCAACGAGGAAAGGCTCAATGGCGTTTGAGCCTCCGATTTCTGCAGCCATTACACCGATGATTTTGCAATTCTTCGACTTTTGGGAAGTGTTGCTCGGGTGATAGTTTTGAATGAACTTGACTCCTGCTTGGGTGGTTGTCACGGTTACACCTTGGTAAACAAACAGGCAATGCAATATTTTGAAACGTGAGAACAGCTCTATGCCAACTGACCTTTAAATAATAACTTGCAAATTATACAGTCTCTCTCTCTCTCTCTCTCTCTCTCTCTCTCTCTCTCTCTCTCTCTCTCTCTCTCTCTCTCTCTCTCTCTCTCTCTCTCTTTCTCCTTAGATAAATAGATAAACACACACACACACACACACACACACACACACACACACACACACACACACGCACACAGACACACGCAGGCACACACATACACATTCAAACACTTTCGCCATCCTTTCTCTCTTTGTGCCCTTCTCTCTTTGTCCACAAGGAAGTTGAGATGGATGGATGGATGGATGGATGGATGGATGGATGGATGGATGGATGGATGGATGGATGGATGGATAGATGGATGGATGGAAGGAGGGTAGGACGAATGAACGGGCGGACGGGGGAACGAAGGGACGGATGGATGGATAGATGGATGGATGGATGGATGGCTAGCTGGTATGCGTGATGGATAGATGGACGAGTGAATACAGTTGCACAAAAATGAAAAATCGGATATATGTATACCTTCTTTATTCTGTAGATCTCCATCTTTGTATCCTCCAACCTGGTAAAGATCTCGCAGACACTCCAAAGATCTCACAGTCTCGGCAGACGACTCGCCCTGCTCGTACGTGATCAGAGGCGCTCCCATCATGGACGTCACAATCACAATATCCGTTTCCGGGTCAGCGTCTTTCAGAAAACGATCCGGGTTCACCACGCGCATGCGCTTCCCGCTCCGGATGGACGCGAAAGCGCGCAGTCTACCCATGTGTGGACTACCCCCTCCTCCACAACCGTAAATCCCGGCGCCCACTGCGATGCACTCGATGTCGTACTCAGACAGAATCCATTCCCCGCTCTCTCGGTCGATGTAGGGATCTTTCGGCGACTTGGTGGCATCGTCGTCCTCCTCATCGCCCACGTCCCCATCCCCCTTCGCCTTCTCCTTCGTCTCCTCTTCCTCATCTCCCTCCTTCGCGTCATCGATTCGCTGTCCTGTTGAAGAATACGTTTGTTTATTGGTGGCTACATAACTTTCCAGGGCGAGGATATTGTCTGAGTTTTCAGGGCATGACCACTGCTTGGCACCCACGAGTTTCTGACTCCATGCAGCAAGATCTCCGACCATCTTGACAAAGATTTGAGTGGCGTTCCCGGGCATGTAGGGAATGACGGAATCCTGTTTGTCGAGGATTTCTATTGTTGTTTCATCGGCCCCGGCTGCAACGACAAGCGTCTTCACCTTTCAACAGATTGAAAAACATCTAGATTTACGACAAGTCCTCAAATACTATTTGTGGTCAATGTATTATGCATTTCTTTAGTTTTGGTTTTAGCAAGAGTTTATTAACTGCACCTGCAACACCATTAGGATTTATAAGTGCCGAAGATTTGAGGTGATACTAGTGAGAAACATAATACAAAGAAAAGGAGGTGAAAAAGGTGAAGAGGTATTGGTTTAACGCACCTGTCACCACTTTTAGGTTATTTAAGAGGTGGTACCTACGAGTTTAACGTCCATTTCAGAAAAGACTGAGCCAAATAGGAAATTCGAGTACAGTGGGAGGGGGGCTGGGGGCAGGGGAGGGGTATATTGACCTGACTTGGATTCGAACCTCAAACTTCAGTGTTGGAGAACTGGTCCAAACTTTACTCCGCTACAGCAACTGAGGCTCAGCTTCGTAAAAAAACAACAACCAACAAACAACAAACAAACAAACAAACAAACAAACAAACAAACAAACAAACAAACAAACAAACATACATACATACAAACAAATATCAAATATGGGTAATACGAGGAAAAACATTGGTGATAAAAGCAATAATATTTTATGAGATATAAAGAAGGGCAAGGAAGACATAGTAAGCAAAAAAAGGGCAAAAAGTATGTCATGTCTGAAGTGGTGCTCATTCGGTTTCATAAGCTGACACGGTATGAATAACATGAACGTAACAAATCGATTCAGGTTTATTTGACCTTTCTGTTTAAAAAAAAAACTTCTTTCGACCATAACGGACATCTTTCAACCATGACGTTACGGCGTCTCAAATTTGCTACTACGGCGTGTGAAGACCCTGGTTATGCTCCATGGATCAGGTAGGCCTATGTTCCGAATAATGTGAGAGGATCGTGGTTGAGCAGGGGG